ATCCATACAAAAAAGTCGGAAGTACCCCTCTGTTGAAGTACTTACGTTTCAGATGCACAGCTCCATTCTTATTGGTGAGAAATTTCCGTAACTTGCCAAAGGTGTTCCAAGCTATTCCAATGCGTCTGGAAATCTCTTTATCATGATCGCGTGGACATTGGATCAGTTGACCGAGATAAATATAGGAATTTACGCGTTCTATGATGTTATTGCTCAATGTGATAGACGAGTTCGTCCAACTTCCTTCTCTATCTTCACTCATCCACTTGTTTTGCTGGCGTTGATTTGAAGTCCGATTTGTCTACACACATCAAGAACTTTTTCACAATTCTCTGCAGTCCTGGATTATACCCTATAAGCACAACGTCATCCGCAAATGCGAGGTAACGGAGTTGTCTTCCACAAATATTGTAGCCATCTTCATCTTTCCATGAAATAGAATCAACTGCATACTGAAGACAAGTAATAAATATGAGCGGTGACAATGCATCTCCTTGGCATTCATGGGTTTTCTCAATTAGCTGATTGATTGCTTGTAGATGGTTGAGAAAGTTCGCCGAAATCCACCTTGCTCAATGGATAGGAATTTGCAAACTTCTTCGACTAGGTTGGCTGGAGCTTTTGTCAGTACTTTGTAGATCGTGGGTAATAAGGAAATTGGACGGTAGTTCTTGATATTGTAGCGATACCCTTTTCTATGGAGGAGTATGATGGAGGCATGGGCAAAAGAGGGATATTGTTGTCCTCAAACAATCGGTTGATGATGTTCGCTAACTGAGGAGCAGTGACCAGGGTCAAGCGTGGGGCGTGGCATGCGACACCTGGGGGTCGTATTAAGGAATCAGAGAGGGGGGTCGTTATCAAGGCATCCGCTGTTCGCATAACATGATATACGTTCAATCTCAAATAGGCCCGTCATGCAAATACTAGCACATTGATGTTTGACCCGTTATCGTAAACGTACAGTAAGCATAATTAAAGATCTACAAAGCATAAGAGCATCGTTTTGTAATTAGCAAGTGAAATAACCCCTGTGGTCCAAGTTTCAGCAAATTCTGAGGTTTCCAAATACAGGACCACCTAAGTGAGATGGTCGTTTTCAAACATGTTACTTTGTTTCAAAGGTAAGTTAACTACTTCTTTTTGCGCGCTTAATACAAAGAACTACTATTTCTTTACTCACATTAGGAATCCTACTTTAAATGACCTTCATATTAACGAATTAAGGGCAAGCCAAAATCCCGTTTGTATCATTTTTCGTTTCCAATATCTCAGGCTAGATAAGACAATCAGGCTCAAATCACTCTTATGTAGATTACGAGGCTTAGGCTATTGAATACATACATTCTTGTCGCTTACCCTTGCGATTCACGTAGTAGCGCAGACTTAGCGTATTACCGTATCCCAATATTTTCGCAGTAATTAACCAGTATTTTACATTTCCATAGGTAAGAGAAAACGATTATATTTTGCACTTGAAGAAACGTTTTCATATGGAATTTCTGCTATGTAAAGAAGAAGGTTAAGCAGTAACAGCGATATAAATACGCAGCGGTTTCTTATTCCAAAGTCAGGAGGTTTTTTGAAGTAAGATTTATGAATTGGATAAAGAAAGAGTAGTGTTTTGTTTTGAGTGCAAAAACAGCTAGTGCTTCACCTTTGAAACAAAGTTAATCATGCTGGAGAATGGCGATTTCACTTAGGTGACCCAGTATCTTGAAACTTCAGAATTCGCTCAAACATTCTCTACAGGGGTTAATTGACATACTAGTTATGGAAATGTTACCCGTTATGTTTGACAGGGCCTTCAAGTAATGCTATCTTAGACATATAGTTCAGGGGGTCTTATTGAGACAGCAGTAAAAGGGGGGATCGTGTGCCACACCTCTTGCTTAACCCTAGCAGTGATAGCTACGGCGTACTTAGCAGTTTTCGATCGAATGCCATCCCCTGCCTGGGGCAGCGTTACCGCGGATTTTCAAGGCTGCTTTTCTTAGTTCGTCGGCGGTGACGGCTGTGTCATGGTTCGGGGAGTGTGGATCGTGGGTCGGGGAATACGCGTCGTTGATCGGGGAATGTGCGAACGGTCTGGATCGCGGGATGCATACAGTTTAGCGAAGTAAGCACTTGCAAGAGTTTTGGCTTCGGCAAAACTGGTAGTCATCGTTCCATCTTGTCGGCGTAACTGGCTTATAACTTCATGTTGACGTAGGAGTTCAATACGACCACGCTTTATTCGATTGCGCTGGATCGCTTTTTCCAATACGGAACGTTGGTGTCCATAGAGATCGTCCTTCATTGACCAACGAGAAGCTTTGCACACATTAGCTATTCAAGCTGGGCATTAACCACTTGCTCATACCATATTTCAACTCACATCTGAGTTGGAGGAGGGTGCGCGTTCTATCAGAAATTCTTCCCATCGGTTCCCAGCGAACTTCGGCATAAGCATCAGCTTCTCGGATAACTTGCAAATTTGTTGCCAAGATATTACCGGATCATCTAGTCGTATTCGCGAATGAAATCTCGGCGAAGTCATTAAGCATAGCTGCCTTCATTTTGAGCTTACAGTAGTCAGTAAGCAGTTGACGAGAACGAGCTTTGATGTGCATAACGCGGATGTTCACGTCGGCTCTCACAAGTCGGTGGTCACTTCCAGCACCGAATCTGTTTAGAACATCGACGTTAGTTATGAATCTTCGTTGTCGTATTAAGATATAATCATTTTTTCAAATACTCGTCCATTCGGTGAGCGCCAGGTCCATCCTCGTTTCTCAGGTATTTGGAAAAACAAGTTCATTACGTAGAATTTTTCGGACTCTGCAAACTCAATTATAGCCTGACATTTGCTGCTTCGCATCCCATAGCAATTGCTGCCTACAAACTCGGTTGGCGATTCACTTCCTATTCGTGCTTTAAAATCCCCGATGAGAATATCGTACGCATAGCGCTTTTGGGAAAGTGCGTTTCGAAGTTCCTCCATGGACTCTTTATAATTGTTTCCTGTCAAGGCGCGTGCGCTCCTGTGACACGCATTGCTTTGTCATGCAGAAGAAAATGAATTCGAATGAAGCGGTGTCAGATAAAAAGGCTACTACCGTGCAGTACTTATGGAGGCGTTCATTGACAATCAATCCTACTCCTCTTCTAGTTATCTCAACATTTGTCATCCCGCTGTAGTACGGATGCAGTCCCGAAAAGATGCGCTGCAAATAGAGCGCCACTTCGGCGTGTCTCGCATAATCCAACAATGTCGAAATTGATTATGCGCATTTCTTCTTCAAGCGCCACCAATTTTTCTTCTGAGGCTAAAGAAGGAACATTGAAAATAAACATACTCTGATCTGTCGGTGACGGCGCCGGATCCTCTTCTCCTTGTTTCCTCGTACTGCAGCCATCCGGTAGGCCAGCTACCATCTAGGTTTCTTTCACCTGTTCCTTCTTCGTTCTTGTCCTTGATGGTGGGATAGGACAGAGTCGAGAATCAGCCGACTGTTCGCGGAGGGTTAGGGATGGTGAATGAAGGATGTTATGACGAGTTAAAACGAGGTCTCAGGAGCTTTTTGCTTATCAATCGATAATTTTCTGACCCCCTCTGTGATATGACTATAAGAAGAGGTGTGCTGTATTGCGAAAGGTTTGGTGCCTCTGATGGTCTTTATCGCATCAAGAAATGTAGATTCTTGAGAAAGTTATAGCACGTCAAATTGAGAACTCGCAAAACGCGCATTATTTTGCACCAATCTAATAATAACACATTTTCAGGCAGCACGCACGATTGTATACGTTTTTTGGTCGCGAAATCCTTTAACGTGTTTGGGCTGATCGATTTGAAAAAAATTTCCCGCGTTTTGTACTCGCGAAATCAAGATAGTTATTAGAAACACAGAGTGTTCCTAATATCATATTTTGGTAGCTATTTATTACTTACCATTCTTGTGATATAATGTGGTGAGATCTCGTGCACGAAGGGTAAACATCGAGCCCAGTTAGAATCGCCAATATGTAAACGTTCCTTTACAGTTTGCTCGCTGTATGTAGCTATAGTCGTCCTCACCCCACTAGTCGGTCGGTGGTCGAATTTGAATTCGAACTGGAGCAGGCTGACCGCGGCAGAGCGCGGCAGACGCAAACCCCTTGCACGAGCTTTTTTCTTATTTTCTTCGTATTTCTTTTCTATCTCTCGTATTGCGGCAATGTTCTTGATCAGACTTTCAGATTTCTACCGCTAACTCTTTGAAACAAACACTTTTTGAGAAAATTTCAGCCTTACCGCAAAAGAAAAATAGTATCATCGTACGATGATTCCCCCCAATTACCGTATCGAGGGACCACCCGCTGAGTGGGCGGGCCTAACCACCCTTTTGTATCTCGGGGGCTTTGACCTCACTCTCCTTACGAGCTTACCGTGAACGGTTCGCTCGCACAATCTTGTACTTGCATAAATAAATCTGAACCACCAATTCTACTCTTCCTACACAGTTATTGTATCAATCCGAGGCCAACATCCCTCGAAGAGTCTTCCACCCGCTAATAAATAGTCTAGCGTACATATTCTAATAAAAAACTTAATACATTTCATCAAATCACATTTGAGCATATGTCACTTGCCGGAAAAAAGAGATTTCCATCCAAAAACCTCCATCACATCCTTCTTCCCTGTTTACATGGAAAAAAATGTAAAACAAACGAGCACAACTGCGCAAAACAGTTAGCGGTGCAAAATCTGAAAATCTGATAAAGAACATTGCCGCAATATGAAAGATAGCAAAGAAACACGAAGAAAATAAGAGAAAAGCTCATGTGCAGGCGTTTGGCAGAGGGGCGGTCTGCCGCGCTCTGTCGCGGCCGGCCTGCTCCAGTTCGAATTCAAATTCGACCCCCGACCGACTAGTGGGGTGAGGACGACTAAGCAGCTCCTGAATGTGTAAAATTTAAGGCGAATGGTTACCATAGCTTGGAAATTCTGAGTTTTTTAACCGTTCACTTATTTTTTTCAGAGGAGGTGCACTACGCTCACGTTAGCATCCCATCAAACTCAAATTGCATGCACTAATGCAAGAGCAAAACGCCGCGTGAGTTTTATTCCATCTTCTCATTTATAGGGTGTTCCAAAAATGTGCCTACTGTTTGACTGCTAATAACTCTTTTGTAATGAAATCTTAAGAAGCTTTGAGTACCGTTTTGTAAAGCTGGCTTTAACTTAGACTTACAACATAGAGCGAATCACCGATTGCTCTTCATTACTGTAGGATTACGGTAAGAACTTCAAGTATGTGATGTCATTGTGAAAATCTGCCGTTTCAAAATTTTTTTAAAAAAAGTGGAAACTTGTGTACTAGTGGACGCTGAGTTCAATATCCAACTATGTATAAGATTGCGGAGCTTTTCAAACGATATAATCGCGCTTTTTCGGAACATTGAAAAAACAGTCACCACTGCTTACTTCGCATAACTTTCAATGAAGCATCATGATAAGTTCCGACCTTCACATCTTGCGGATGTGAAGATCGGAACTCAAATCAACAACTTTGATCAGCCCAACGTGGAAGTTTCGTTGTTTGGTTTCCTTTCTGACGCAATATGTGCCCTTTCATGACTCGAAACCCTCTTTGAAGTTTCTACCGTAATCCTACAGTAATGAAAAAAGATGGGTGATTCGTTCTATACTATGAATCTAAGTTGAAGCTAGCTCTACAATACCTAAAACTTCTTGAAAGACTTCTTTACAAGAGAACAGTCGGATAGCAGGCACATTTTTTTGGGACACCTTGTATGAAGCATGTGTGCTTGTGTGTCTGTCCGTGTGTCTGCACGTGTATTTCAAATCCAAAAAATTTTTCCAATATTTTACTTACTTAGATACTTAGATGGCCCGGCTTCTTGTGACGTGCGGGCCAAGCACAATATATTTAGACCAAACGTTACAGTCGCGTCGGGGCAGGAAGAATACCATAGGCTACACTTTGTCGGTGTATATTAATCAGTTTTCCCGCAAACTCGAGCTATTGAGCTGACAAGGGAAAGATACCAACACTAATCGGTGAGATGTTTGTAGGCGCTCCTTTAAACGCTGACTCCAAATCAGCTTTTTTGCGGAACAAGTTTTCGAAAAAAGTTATGAACGTTTGTATGTCCAAATTTGCCAAGGTTTGGGTGGGCTAAAATTGGAGAAAAGCTATACAAACACACCGAAAAGGGAAAATCGTTTTTGTATCGAGTATGTTGTTTGCAAGGAAGGGACAAAGCCGGTGGAAATTGCATAGGTATTGTTTTAGAGCTTTTTGTTGATTTTAAACCACTCAATGCTTGGCAAATTTGAACATTCAAACGCTCATAACTTCTTTCGGAAACTCATTCCTCAAAAAAAAAGCAGATTTGGAGCAGTGTCGCGTTCAATGATATACATCACGTCTTCAAACGCCGACAATGTTGATATCCTTCCCTTATGAGTACAGCGGATAGGTGAGCGTTGGTTACGAAGGTAACAATATGGAAAATTACCCGATGTACTTATCTATTTTTGTCGATTTTTACAGACTTTGACTTACTTCGAAAATATAGCGAGGTATGTACATTTATACAGATATAGAGCCGGGCTAGTAAAATATTATACAGAAAAGTTTATGCCGACAGGGACAGAGCGAACGGATGACCTAGCTGGTCCTCCCAAAATATAGTAATTTTTTTAATACAAAGCTTTCCCCGATTTTTGAGCTCTCAATAATGAATTCTGCAAGGCGGAAAAACATTTTCTGCATCTGCTGTTCTCTGCTTCTAAAGGAACGTGGCAAGGAACCAATGCAAAGATGAAAAATGTCGTTCGGTAAGTCAAGATGAGGAATGAAAACTGGTTTGCGTCAAACGAATAATCAAACACGTTGCTCCTTTTCAAATCTGTGATTTTTTGTGAGACTGAAATAGCATTTTGCACCGGAAACTTTTAAACAAGCGCAAGACGATCAACCGCAGCACCTGTACGAACACTACCGCAAGGTCAAAATAAGGCAATACTGCAGAAATGGCACAGCATACAGGTTCAAAGAACTTCTCTGCTTGAGCATGATGTTACATAGGGTGGCCAAAACTACCCTGTACTTCTACGAAATACTTCATTTCAGTTTACTTCCTAGAGTACATTTGTTTTATTTTTGAATTTTGTAGCGGCTGTTTAGATGACTTTTTAGGAGCAGATTCGTCCTTTTTTTCTTGAAGAAAATCAACAGCTTTTCCATAAGCTGGCAAAAGGCCGTCCACAGGAGCAAGACACATCTGTTGCTGACTTTTAGCAAAATTTGTCATTTGTTGGCTCAAATACGCTTGGAACCTAAAATTTACTATTGGAATCTAAGGAAGCACAAGCGAGCCTACGGTCTAGGTACAGCGTTCTCAGTATTTCATTCTCAGAATGAAGTGCTTTGTGGTTTATGTTCTTACAAGGAAAATGCCCCTCCAGGTAAAGTGTTCATTTGAGATGAGATCTAGTACCGTCAGCGCCGACGTAAAAGACAGTGAATTAAATGCACTGTTGCACCAAAAGCGTCGTTTCGGTTTACCTTTTCTGAAAGACAGATTTCCACAAAGAAAGAGCGTTCATGGGCAAAAGCTCACTGCAATCCACACAAAGCTGCATTTACTTTTTGCAAAAACCGTTGTCAATTTTGGCTGATCCCGAATTTGGCGCTACTTATTGCAGTCATTAATCAATTATGAGTTAACAAACACCGCGGTCGCCAGCTTTGGGCTCAATTGAAGTTGACAAGGCGCGGATGAGGCAAAAACTTGCAAATCTGGATAGAATGGAATGAGCAGGGATGAGCAAGAGGTCAGGCACAAGTAACTTAAAACGTCTCCGCCCCCCCCCCCCCCTTCCCGACCCTCCCTGAAAGCCCCAATCGACCCTTTTCTTCCTCCTCTTCACCTCCGAAAGCTCAGAGTGCGATATATAAAGGACATATTGATTTTTAATGATTTTCGGGGTTCTGAGTCTGCGCCGATTTTGTGTGACTGCAGTCTACAATCACACATGATTTGACGTTGATGTTGATCTGAATGGGCCTATGGAAATGACAATAATTTCCCTGGGGTGAGGTGTTGCTTCAAATTTTCGCTGTAGCAAGGAAAAAGCCATGAGATCAACATTTGTACCAAGAATGGAGAGATTTCTGGATTTTGACGACATGTTAAGGAGGTCAGGCACAAGACTGCAAACTCGCCTGACCTTTTAAAGGGTGCCTGCCGATCAACTTTATCACCAAAAAAGCTTTTTCGTCTAGGTTTATGTTATCCGCTAGCACAGATCTTGAAGATTCTACGGTAAGTGTTGAGCTTACAGTCAAATCATTTTGTTTGATCATCTGCGACATTGCACACACCGTCCACCTTTGGCGTTCCCATCGTGGATCGTGAAAGAGGCAACCCTTTAGGCGGGTGTTTTCGATGCGTTTTCAATGCCTCTTCTTTTTGTACTATTAACCTCAAAGAGATGTAAGCGATATCGGTCAGTTCAGTTTCTTGCGTTTTGAGATTGCAGTTCCAGGATGAGGACGCCAAAGATGGGCGGTGTGCGCGTGCACACATGATCATATGAAATGAATCGACTGTCCCTCGACTAGTTTCGGCTTCGTGGTGATCGATGGAGTTTAGGCACTTAAAGGCAGTATCCGGGCAAAAAGAATTTTGAGATTTTGTGCCTATCCGGGCCTATTCGCTATGCTGAATCCGAAAATCCACATTGGAAAACGCGAAGGCGAAAAAGGGCTCGAACGCAGGAGTGAAATTAAAAGGGGGCGGGGTCTTCCCCACTGTGAATTCACAGTCCCAGTATCCGGAACGATTTTTTCCAGTCCCGATTTCAGATCACGCATTCGCACTTGATCTGTGGAGATGTCAGGTCGGTTAGCGGAATTGAAAAGATACTCCGGAAGCTGGAACCGTGAATTCATCGTGGGGAAGACCCGCCCACTTTTGGTTTCACTCCTGCGTTAGAGCCCTTTTTCGCCGTTTTCGCGCTTTCCAGTGTCGATTTTCGGATTCAGCAAAGCAAATAGGCCCGGGTAATCACAAAATCTCACAATCGACTTTTTGCCCGTACACTGCCTTTAAGGCGAAAACCGTGGGCCTTTAGATTTTGGCAGTACTTCTTGATCCACTTTTTGTAAGCAATGTAAAGTCTAATTGCTATCATAGACTTATTGATAACTTTTTTATGAGCACAAGAAAGCTGACTTTTTTCATTTGTGAGTAAATTAATTATGTTTGAAATCACGCTTTTGAGACGTTGTGAAACACAAGAAAATTTAATAGGCAATGGTTTATAGGGCGCGTACACGTTATTTGGCATGGTAACTGCTAAGATTATACCCATCAGCGGCACGCTTCTTTGTGACCCAACGTATGTTTAAGACAAAAGATGAAAAAGAAATCAGTGGCCGTATTCATCAACGAAACCCATGGGTTCCGGAACCCACTGGGTTAGTGCTTTTGATGAATATCGGTTCTTCCCTGGAGTAGAATCGATATTCATCAAAAGCACTAACTCAGTGGGTTCCGGAACCCACGGGTTTCGTTGATGAATACGGCCACTGGTTGAGCCTTCGTTATGTGTCAATCAATATTCTGTCCAACATTTCTTGGTGGAGTTGTGGTATTCACCGGTCTAGCGCTATTCTTCTTTACCTTACTCGATCGTAGTATTTCTCATTTCTGAACAGATTCGTCCTGATTATGACCCCCCTCCCTCTCAGCCTTACCACCCCCCCCCCCTCTCCATTACGACCCCACAAATTGGGCACGCTGTCCCACACTAAACCCTGGAAATGAAGTCTTTCAAGGATGCCTCATTTTTTCTGGAGATCTGACTTTCATGAGAGTGATGGAAGCAACGTCTCCTTTTTGAGGGCGATGCCGATGTACCGCATGTTGCTAAAGTCAAGGATGAGGTGCTCTCAAAACTCTTAGATATCTGCGATATGCCCTTCCGAAGAAAAATATGGTTTTAGAAACAAAAGTTCGAAAGCGTTTCATGTAAGAGAATTCGAACATGCGAACCTTCGTACAATCAACGACCGCTCTCCCGCTAAAACATACTACCAGAATAGCATGTACCACAGAACTCCCATATCAAGTGGTATGTCAGCATGTTCCAACTCAAGGTTTTTTCAAAACACCTTCCCGCAATAAGAATCGCAGATGAGGACTGCAGGTCAGCAAGTACCACAACTCCAGCAAAATATATCTCATCACAAATGGTCACTTCGACCAAAAAGCGCTCCTTATTAGACTTCTAGGTTTAGGAAAAAAGGGCAACACAGTACTAATCCTCTGAAAATTGTCGAAACTCGGTGAGAAACTTGAACAGAATATATTTTGAACCCTTTTTGAAAGAGCGGTTCACTACGTGAGCATTGATGCATCTACTTCTATGTTACACAGAAAAAGTTCTTACACCAATCATTGTTTGCTTTGGAAGTGTATAAGACTGGCCCGAGGACTTGATGGACAATGTAGATGGCCTACAGTTTAACATACTAGCTTGTGAAATGACTCGATTGTTTGCCGGCTGAATTGTTGGTTTGGAGTCGGCAGATTTAAAGAATCCTCCCCTTAGATTGCCCTCGAAGAGACTGGGAACATCTTAAACATCCGTGCTTCAACCTATAAAGGTCTAGTGAATACACTGTTCCAATAAACGCTTTGATATACAAATCAAAGTGCAAAGCATATAGATAAACTCTCGTTTGTATCAATGCTGGGTTGAAACATGCAAGCGTGTTCCTTCATAAAATGCTCTCACTGTGAGAAAAAGGGCGTTTATGCGTCAAATCGCAATTCTTATATACGATTTGCTTGCACTCGAAGGCATCGTTCAGTACTCTGCGTTGATACCACTGCTTGATGCTAGCAGCGGGCAACTTATTTGAGCGATCGCCCGAGTTTCGCTGCAGAAGATGAATTTCAGAGCAAGAAAACGGCCTCGAAGTAGAGTGCCACGCTGGCTCCGCCATAACATGAGTGGTCTGAAGCTACAATGTCCAGACTTGGGCTTGAATGTAAACAGAACTGTCATGAATTCGCCTTTCATTATAATCATCGATTTTGCGCTGATACTCAGCTTACCCTGAACCCATCTTCGGAATTTTTATCTTCAGTCCGGAGATAGCCTGGCTGCTTCTACCTTCTGGGGAGGTTTTCTGGATACGGAATTATCTTTTCCACCGGGATTTGGGCGAGCCTCTCCATTATATGGCATCAAAATCTCATCACTCTCAGTTTGGTGGATGGTGCCTTTAGACTGTCCATAACTTCGTCCACGAAGACGATGAGGTGATATGGGTGGTAGTTTTGGAGTCTGCATTTACGCTGCTTTCAATACTGCTGCACGTTCAGAGTGGCCAATTCGACTTCTGACTTGAGATATTAGAGTTCTTTATCAGTGCCTTTTTTATCTCCTCGCATAATCTGATCTAACTCAAGTTTTCTCGGAATTAAGGTGTGATTCGAAACGTGTTTTGTCCTTTTGTTTGATTGTTCTGTTACTTGTCTGCTCCATGCTCTTGTCTCAACACAACCCTTTGTTCACGGCAAACAAGAGTAAAGATATAAGCGAGTGTTAGAAAGTCTTTATCAATTTCAGAACATGATCTGCTTTATCATTGTGGTTGCCGTAACAATAATTTTACTTATGATTCTTGTGATCCTGTACTTGAAGCTGTGGAGGTGAAGATGTCAAAATTTCTGGTGGTTGTCTTTTCTCTCTACACTTGTTTATGCTCTCTATGCGCATTTTCCCATTTTAATTTTTCTTGTATTCTCGAAGTAAAACTCGAATGATGATTCCTATATGTAACTTGACTTCACATGGATACAGTTCTTATGTTGTTATGTTACGCAGCAAAATGCTGCAATCGATAAGATAAAGCTTTTTGTGAATGCTTTTGTGCATTTTTCTTCAGGTAAAAGATCCTATACACAAAAAGAGTAACGTAAAATAACCTCAGTCTATTGGAAGCATCTCAAACGTTAAACGCGCATCCTGCGAAACTGCTGAATTGTGCAAATTGATAGTAGTATTCTTCTGACGCCTTTGTCCAGTTGCTCTGAAAGTGCTTAAGTCTGGTGCGAATAATTGATCAAACCCTAATAGTACTAATCCCATTTTTGCTTTGGATCCATTCGCTATAAATGAATAGTGCTGCTTGTATATCAAAACTAGGGTAATTCTTTTCACAGCGAAAGACTGCAACTTCTGAGAATGGCATCATAGACGAGGAAGATAATTATGATATGACCAACACATTCATGAACAAATACAACCCAGCAGTTTTGCGTGTCCTGCAATCTCGCAATACGGCCCAAAAATAAACTATGTGTTTTCTTTAGTTTCAACCTTTTCTAGCTGACACAATGAATTGGATGTCTGGAGCAAAGTAAAAAAACTGCAGCGAAGCTCCAGTCAGAAATCTTACGAAAGTAAGTAAGAACCATGCACAGCAGTCAGCCCCAAAAAACCAGCGAGAGATGACGTATCTACTCGTTCCAGGATGAATCTTGCTCAAACGTTTTTAGCTTGACTAGAAAAATGATAACTATGGAAACTCTCATCGAATCTCAAGGCACCATCTACCCAACCGAGTATAGTTAGAGGATAAAGATTCTGGCGCCATGTAATGGAAGCTTCCCTAGTTGAGCCATCGCCCAGGTCTCGCTGCAAAAGAATTCAGACGCGAGAAACCCGCTTCAGAAGGTAGAAGCGCCACGCTGGCTCCACCCATCGACGGGAGTAGCCTGAAGATAAAAGGTTCGAAAACGCTTCAAGATGGATGGAAAAGTTGACACTCTAATAAGCATCATGTAAGTTTTATGACAACTCGGGATTTACTAAAATTGGGCTCTTGTCTTTATCTTCAAACCACCCACGCAGATGGGAGCCAACGAGCTTCTACCTTCTGGAGCGCTTTTCCGCTTCGTCATCTTTTGCGGCGAGAATTAGGCGATGGCTTGGTTAGGTGCCCCTCCATTACATGGCATCTCTCAGCAAACTGAGTTTCAGTGGCAGATGCCTTTAAATTACTCACTGTTCTGGGACGTTTTTGATTTCGAGCATTTTTGGAAACGAAGTCGTCGGACATCGCATACTTATCCGAAGTTCTCTTTGATTATTTATAAAATGGGATAGAGAGCAGGAAAATCAGATACAATCACAAAATATACATATTTTGCAAAATCGTGTCAATGACAAGACTCTCAGTAGTATAAGTACGCCTTCGTAAACACTGAACAGCCTCAATGTTCTCCGACAGTGGCCCGTAGTAAACCCCCCACCAGTGCAACTCGACTGGTGCGGGCCTTCACAAAAGGAACAATGAACGTTGAACATAGGACGCCTCGGTCCAGCATCCAATGCTATTGATCTGCATGCGGATCCGTTTTTAATCATCATAATCATGTGTGTTTTTGAAAAAGCTACCACTTGAGCCGGTTTGGTCGAACAGTTGAGCGACTGAAATTGAACGCGCACGGCCATAGTCAACACCGGCTAGCGCAGCGCCACACTTTTGCTGTATCGCCTGGCCTCTGCCTCTGTGATGGTGACCATATCGCAAAATCGATGATGACCGCTATCAAGAATTTCGCCTAGCATATGCATTTTCGAGAAAAAGTCAGCAAAATTTACAGAAAAGAAAAGACCAGCTGTTCATCGATTCTCTCCTTCTCCGGTATTGTGCAGTTGTGCGCCGATGTCCGCAGTGCTAGGAACTGATGTGTATCGTAAGAACTCACTGTACTCAGAAGCAACTTACGGGAATGTTCTCTGCGTCTCGTCTTTTCCTCACTACTTGCATTAGTCCAACATCAGCTCACGTCTCAACTGATCGTGAACTGATTAAGTGGATCAGTTGACTGCAGCAGGTGGACGTATGACCAAATGTCAGTTCACTTGGCATGCTCATGCATGGGAAGGTGAGCGGTCATCATTTCAGCTGACGTATGATTGATGGGTTAAAAGCAGTGGATCGGCAAAATCCAACAACTCGGGATTTTAACGCGGTAGGTTCCTTATCGCCCAACTATGAAAACAGTACAATCCCAGTTGCACAGCATGCTTTCCCTGCCGAGAAAATCGCTCTCGAACCTTACACGCGCAGGCCAATCTTACACGCATCTGGACGACTTGGCAATTTCCTTTCCACCATTGGAAGCTGCCCGCCGCAACGCTATAACCATTGGGTCCTGCCACGATTTAGCGTCATCGGCCTTGCTCCACTCGTCCAATATCAAAGGGAGAGGCATTAAAAACGCTCATTTTCGCCGTTTTCAAGCTTTCAAAAGTGGATTTTCGGGATCAGTGTATTGAAAAACCCCCGGTAAGCGCAAATTGACTAGGTTGAGATTTGCCGAGCCACTGCCTTTAAAGGCAGTGTCCGGGCAAAAACTCGTTCTCGAGATTTTTTGCTTATCCGGACCTTTTGGCTACACTGAATCCGAAAATGCACATTGGAGAGCGCGAAAACGGCGAAAAACCGCTCTAACACGGGAGGGAAATCAGCAGGTGGGCGGGGTCCTCCCCACTGTGAATTCACGCTTCCAGCTTCCAGAGCGATCTTCTCGGTTCCGATTTCAAGTCATGCATTCGCACCTGGCCGGTGGAGATCTCAGGGCGCTAGAGGAATTGGGAAGATCGCTCCAGAAGCTGGGACCGCGAAATTCACAGTGGGGAGGACCCCGCCCACTTTCGATTTCCCTCCTCCGTTAGAGCCCTTTTTGCCGTTTTTGCGCTTTCCTATGTGGATTTTCGGATTCAGCATAGTGAATAGGCACGGGTAAGCACAAAATCTCAAAATCGACTTTTTGCCCGGACACTGCCTTTAAGTTCAATTCACCTGAACTGATCGAGGTTTACTGCGGGCCAGTGTGTTTCTCAAACCACCTATTGAGCCGCAGACAAGGCCATAGTGTTATCTGAGCTTCTGTTCAGAATATGGTTACAAACATTATGGAAAATTAGCGTGCGGCGAGCAATCATCCATAAAACGATTGCGATGGAGATTTGATGAAAAAAACGGAAAACTGTGAACGAAACATGAGTCTGTAAACATGGAGGTTAAGAAATTGGCATTTCGCTTCACACCACTTCGAGCACTAAATCGTATGCGAAAAACAGCTTCGAACTTTTTCTCGAGAATCACCGAGGGAAAATGCACACATTGATTAACAATGTTTCCGAAAAACAAATTATAATAGACTGATTTTCTTAGGTTGGCTAGAAAAACTAAATTCGTTTTGGCATATGGAGTTTGTAAAATTGATTTGTTGCACATCGTCTGCGGCCTCTACAATCACATATCAACCATTTTAAAATTTTATTATCATTGAAGGGAAATTATGCCTTAACATAGCATGAACTTATTTATTAGCCAAGGTTGTAGTGCTCAAGACTTCCACTCTCAAATGGGATCCACGGGTAACACCTACTATCGAAGTGTTATTGTTTATTCCTGTCCGTTAAATAACACTTGCCTCTTTTCGTTGCCATGAGATCCAATCGGCTTGCTGACTGCAGCTCCTAGCACTTAATTTCGTACAGTATAGAAGACAACTTGTCACTTTTGACTCGCTTTTTTGTCTCAAATCCATTTTTTTACGATTAGCTCTCACCAGATGTCAAGGTTTAGGTAGCTATGGGCAGAATGAACCCCCCTCCCTTTCCGGCGGGGCTTGGCAAAGATGGTTTTAGGTCAAACTGACCTTCGTTTTTGGGGTAAACGCAAAGAGGGTGTCGTAAAAACTGCCAAATGGAGGTAAATATAAGTGACCCCCAGATATGCTAACCAACAAACTGAAATATGAATGACATGCTCCAAGCTGTTCTTTCTAATCAAGCGTGCCAATTTCAAAATGATGCCCAAATAAACAAATGGCTTGGTTATCAGGGCTGGTAGTAATCCCCCTGACCTGGCGGCATCTTTCGCCGTCAAGTCGGCGTCATCTTTACCTGAAGTCGGCGCGAACTCCGACCACAAGTCTGTGCCCTCCCAACCCTTTTCACCAGGTATTTCCGGTCGAGGAGGTCATAATGACCTTAGCTTACCTGGGAACTTAAGGTGCAATAAACCTCCCTAAACAGATTTGTAGAGGAAGGCGCGAAGTGCTGGCGGCAACTTCGCGAACTGACCTGGCGGCATCTCGTCGAAATTTCAGCGCTGAGAGATGGCGCCAGGTCAGAGAATAGGAAAAATAGCGTGCTCGTTTGCGAGATCACGGTGCCACCATCCCGACGTGCCCCTACCAGACGTGCCCCTACCCCCTACCCCTACCAGCAAGGTGCCACCACCTCGACATGGTCGAGGTGGTGGCACCTTGCTGGCGCCGTCTGTAAGTTTGCGTCTTGCACAGCTGCGGACGACGCCGCGAAAATGGCACGTAATCGTAATTGTTAAATCGTATAATGTTTTATCGCTTTTTGTCGTTTACGCAGCATTAATAATGTTTTTCTCGCCATTATAAGTGAGTTGTTTATTGCAGGTGGCTCTGTGGGGCTCGGGTCATCCAAGGAGCCCCTCTCCACCCTCTTCTGAAGGCCTTTTTTGGTCTAGTGATTGAGTGGGGGATTATGGAGCAAAACACGGCATTGGATCCAGAATCGCGATATCTGCGGCGGATTTGTTACAGGTACAGACACTACTATTGTGATTTTTCTACTTTGTTGTTTACTAACTACTTACTTGTTTTACTACCATGGAATATTGCGAAGGAACGTGATTTACACGTAGATTCAAGCGGTAGCGTTGTCATTTTTCGTATAACTCAAACTCGTTGCTGAATTTCAGCTTCAACGTCAACTTCAAAATGTTGGCCTCACTGGCAATTTGGTTATTTCATCGGAAGAAGCAATAGCTAAAGGTATCAGAAGAATAGTCGCGCTAACGGAAGCGGAGAGCCATTGCTGTGCTGACCGATTTGCTACAAGAGCACAGGTAGCTATGATCTTTTGTTCATTTCATTTCAATTTTCTACTATATTCAAAAGCGATTATCTTACAGTTTGTTTCTATACATCTTTTTTCTTTCTCGATACAGTTAGGACCTCATTTAGGCTATGTCTTATGAAGTTGCTGCATTGAAAGGTGCGGCATTAGATGCTGAAAATTTCAAGACCACAGCGAAGCGGATAAAAGAGCTCATTGATGTATGTTTCTTTCCATCTGACAGCATTCACAGCGTAGTAGCGCTCGTCGTTGAGATGGCACGGAAGGAACTTCTGCACTACTGCCCGGTGGTTCAGCGCCTTCACCACGTCCTCCACGGCGTTCGACACCGTCTTCTGGCAGACACCAATCGTGTCTGCTAGAACAGCTTGATGGGCGTTCGTGGCAAGGTACCGCAAGGCGATGATGACCTGCAACTCGCTGATTAGTTTGGTTTTCTCTAGATATTTACACATCCTAATAACTTCATGTATTGATTTTATTGATTTTTCGATGAATCTTTGTGTTACGGTCCTGGGATTGACACAGAGGGACAATGTGGTTATGGCTTGCAATTGAAAAAATTTCCAAACTCTATGTTTATGCTCTCTATCCTTGGGATTTTCAACTAACAGAGCTTATGCAACTAGCCTTGTTTTCCACCTCAACGCTCCAATTCTCGATACGTTCCCGAGGCATCAAAGGCTCCAAAAGGGCGCAAAGTCGCCGAAGGTGATACTCCTTCATTCGAAACCTTCTCAGAATCAGGCGTTGATTCGAATGAAAGAGGCGCAGGGGATGGAGGCGTCCGTAATGGATATTCCTGTGCCTCCTTACAGGAGCGGCATACATGAGCATCGGTAGCATCTCTGAATAAGCTATCATTAATGTCGGGACCATTTCAGAGCGTCATAACGAAATGTTCGCTGGGAAAGCATAAACACAAGAAAACTATCCAAAAACGCAAAACAAAGATATCAATAGATAAAGATCATTACCAGGCCGCTCTCGGAATATTTTCTCAAAGTTCAAAGTCTACTCTGAGCATTGATCATGTTCGAACACATGCACAATTTTCTTGCGCATTCTCTTACCGCTTCTGCATTCTGTGTTACATGAATGTGTGGTCGAGTGGTTAGCGCAGAGATGCTCAAAGGCGAGAGGTGGAAGTTCGAGGTCGCGTGGCGCAACGCTTTTGCGGCGGATCGAGAAACTGCGACGTACGCTTGCCACTGCTTCGACAACGCGAGACATGTATGTGTGGTCAATCGGTTAACGCGCCGGTGTTCGAAGTCATTGCATGCAAGTTCGAACGCCCGCGGCGCAGATGTTTTGCGGTGGCCCGGCAGATCCAGGCATTCCTTGATCGTACGCTTCGCCATGTGCGCAGCGTATGTGTAGTCGATCGGTTAGTGGGCCGGCGTTCGAAGTCGATGCATGCAAGTTCGAGGGCGCGCGGTGCGAGTGTTTTGCGGCGCTTAGCTTGTTGCCAGTCTGCGAGTTCACGCCAACTTGGCGGCATCTTAGATGCCGCCAGGTAGGGTAGATTACTACCGGCCCAGATGACACCTAATTTGGGCAATGTGTACACAATATTACTGCAAACTACATTAATTAGAAAGTTTCAAGAACTTATGAACCCGTTCCCGGATTTGTTGCCTGGCCCATCACCAAATCAACTGGGTTGGCTCAGAGCATAAGTAATGAAGGGTTCACAATTGCGACAACTGTTTTTTGTTCTTGTTGTTGTGTTTCAAATCGTTGTTGTTTTCTCAGTTTTACGTCAGAGGGAGTAGGGGAACTACGTAGAAGTTTGCGAAGTCGGTGGGGGACTTCCTATTCAAAATCCTCTAAACCAACGCATGCTGGGCTCTGACACTCCCCCCCCCCCCAGTGACGCGGGATTATACTTGGGGAAATTCGAAATTTTTTTCGAATATTCGAACATCGAATATATAAATTTCGAATATTCGAATAATATTCGAAAATCGAAATTCTCGAATATTCGACTAAATATTATTCGGAAATTGGAAATTTCGAATATTCGACTATCAAATATTATTCGAAAATGAAAATTTCGAATCGAATAGGATTCGAACATCGAATACCATTCGTTATTCGAATTTCGAATATTATTCGGTTTTCGAATGTTATTCGATTTTCTAATATCATTCGATCGAATACTGACCGAATAATTTACTTCATTGAGACTGCTTATGAAAGACCAAAACACTAAGAATAAATTGTTTCATGTAAGTGCTAAGAATGGACACATTCTTATGGTACATATTGCGATGGAAAAAAAGGTTTAGCCGTGACGTGAAGAGACTTAGGAACCTAAAAGCTACTCCTGTGACAGTTGTGAAGAGATTTTTCGTACTTCAAAGATTATATACCCTCACTGAGAGTTGCGATTGGATATACAGCGGTCCCAACAGTATGTAGATCTGTAGGCTGACATCAACTTAGTAGTAGGCGATTTATCAATCGCTTTTCACTGTTGTAAAATTACCGTAAGACTGAAGCGGGTTCAAACATCAAGAGCCATTTCCAGAAAAAGAATCAAAAGGGCTGGAAGTCTTGCTTTAGGTTTCTAAAGACACTCATTTTATGTAGAATTTGCACTCAACCGTAATGCTTTTTTCAAAACTTACGCCAGGTAATACTTTTGAGACATCCCGTATACGCTATGCATATCGAATTCTCGAATATTTGGTGCTTATCGAATTTTCGAATAGTCAATTCTTATCGAATTTCGAATATTCGGTGCTCGACGAATATTCGAATATTTGATGGACATTGAATGATCGAATGAATGACCCTCGAATATTCGACTATCGAATAATATTCGAAATTTCAGATTTTCGAATATTCGGCTTTCGAATAATATTCGAAAATGAAGATTTTCGAATATTCGACTTTTCGAATCATTCGCATTCGAATGATTTACTCGAATGATCGAATAATTATTCGATTCGATCCCAAGTATACGCGGGATTATGTCAAGAGACGACTTTCATTGTTAGGTAGACACCATTTAGAGCATTTTATGATGAAGCGAGTTATCGATTTTTCTTTTGTGTAAGATATGCTTGATCTTTGACCAACGGTATCATCATCTGAGTGCTGATTTATTGCGTTAAGTTCCCTGTCAATGACAAAAGACTCATTATGGTATTATTCTAGCCAATTTGCAGGAGAAAAAGGTCAAAACTCGCTTCGGACTAGTACGCCGCAGCTAAGGATAGCTTATTTGGAAACAACATACATATTTGGAAGTTCGAAGCTGATTCCAAATATTTATGCCTCATCCCAAAACGCAAATTTAGGTTACATAACCTCCCTTGTCAATATCATATGCAAGTTGTGATAACATTGTTACACAGTTGGCGAAATTAAATGGCACTTTATCTATCACTTATGATATTCATTCCAAATTATAGAAGTTTCATGGAAACTCATGTTGCGTTAGTGAAGCCCCTTTAGAGAATCACATTTTTCTTTGCGCTGTATTATTTTATTTTCGAAACAATTCATCGAAGGGGGATTTGGCAAAACGAGCAGCCATCAGTGAAATATGGACCAGAGAACGCTTCTGCTACAACGATTGCATTTTTTGTGTCTCTGCCTATATTCGAAATTGTGAAGAAACTACTGAGCTGCGAAATCTGCAAATGGTAATCTGCAAAAATGCCAATAAAAATCCATTCATCATTGATTGTTTCAAAAGCTCTCAAAAACGTACAAAAGTACAATGTTACGCCGTATTGCCAAAATTGAATCTCGTGCTCTTGCTAAAACCCGTTTTTTCTCCTCCCGTACTGCCTCAGATATTTTGATGTTCATAAGCTGACACGAATGCAGGATTAAATTCTGTTACTTCAGTCTTTCCATCCAATGCTCCCATTAACATGAAAGCATAGAGCATCTCCGAAGTTTGTATTAGCTCACTTTCCTTGATCAAATATTTCTTCCTTCGTTTTAGGCTAAGATTCGTCGCATATGATGAGCCCATTCCTCATTTTGAAGAATGCCCTAGGTTTCCGATCGTATGTGCCGACTAGACTAATTTGTCATCGAAGAGCAACGGCTCCTCTTGACAGGGTAGGACAAACACCTTGGAACATTGGGGCTTGTTACTCTCAGAAGGTGGAGTAGATCAGAAGCTGCTTCTGCCACTCTTGGTCGTTTTATAAATGAACTTTTCATGATTTTTATTTCTGAAATTCAGCAATTTGAATGCACAACATGAAAAGCAGGCTGGAATCATGGGTTTTGGGGGGTCTGGTTGCAAATGTTTCTTTCGTATACACCCCCTCGCCCCTCTGCCCCTTTGGGTTGCACATATCAGAAAGTGGAGTAGATAAAAAAACTTTGCAAAAAAATCTTCAGAGATGGCAGCCCAAGAGTTTACAATTTTGCGACGTCAAAACTTTATCTAAGGAAACAGTACTTCGACCCTCTATGTGGAAAAAAATTTCCTCTCGCCACTGTAACCTCCCAAATAAATTCCACTACTGCTGATATACACATGGAATTTTCCATATTGAACAAACAAACAATTCACTATGGGACTCTTTTCTCCGTTCCCGCAGCAGTAATCAATCACTGTCAGGGGGAGCTTCCACTACCTTCTAGTGGTTCTTGGCTCGGAAGTCATACATCATCGTATCTCTTTGTTCATCTTAAACTTACTCAATTATCTACGAATCTCCATCTTGTTTTGGTATACTCTGGGATGAAGAAGCTCAAGCCTGAGTAGGTACAAGTTTGGTCTGTGGAATAAGAGTATAAATGTTTTGAGCTTTTTTGTTGACACATTATGGTACTGAGAGTCTCGAATATAAGAAAAAGTTATGAAGTTCAATACAAGGCTCAGAGTAGCTAGCCAACGAGAAATTATCAACTAGATACTTTACTCTTACAAATC